AAAACAAAAATAAGCAAACCTCCAATTTCTCCATTGTTAAATACCAGTTTTATGAGGATTCTCAGAAAGACTGATCCTGTAATACTTTCAAATAAAGTTCTCAAAGCCATGTCCAATGCACCTCCTCCCAGGCAGTCCTTGGTTGCATTTTAAAAGTGGTCATTTGCATAGCATGAATAATCATTTACTCCCCCACAGGAGTATTGATTGGTTTTAGACAGTCTTGGCCAGGGGTTTTAAACCAAACAACAGTAATAGGAAAGAAAACTAAATTAAACCAACTCAAGTTAGAATTATTCTTTGGGGATTGGGGAGGGAGGGGGAAAAATGAGGAGCTGATACCAAGGGCTCAAGTAGAAAACAAATGTTTTGAGAATGATGATGGCAACAGATGTACAAATGTGCCTGACACAATGGATGTATGCATGGATTGTGAAGAGTTGTATGAGCCCCCAATAAAATGATTTTTTTAAAAAAGAATTACTCTTTTAAGTTCTAATTACATAGGTATACTCTTTTATCTTAAAGGAATAACTTTGTAATAATGTGAAGAAATGAATTGAGAATACAAATTTTAAAGCCTTAATCACATGCTGTATTTTTACTTAACAACTTTATTGACATTCACATACTATACAATTCAGTGGTTCAAATATTTTTAAAAGAATTGTGCAATCAATTTTAGATCACTTTCTTCACTCTTGTATCCTCATTTTCTGTCCCCCCTCCCCCCAGAGTCTTATATTTTATAGTTCACAAAGACAATGCCCTACATCCTCCTTAGGTGAGTAGCTACTGGGTTTTGAAAGCTCGTGGGTGACCCTCTAAGGTCCAACTGCTGGTGTCTTCCCTCCCTTCTGGAGTCAAGACGAGTGAAGAAAATTGAAGATGCATGGAGACAGTAGATCAATGGGCTAAGGAACCCTGGAAATACCAGCCTCCATAGCCCTCAGAGCAATATGGAATGGAAAACTGAGACGCTCTGTCAATCTTCACCCAACTTACAAACAAAAAACTCATGAAAAATTTTATGTCCTGGAGGAGAAAACAACGGGACTGACAGTTCTGGGAAGACATGGGAGAGGGGGAGGTGGGGGAAAAGGTAGTGGTGTTAACAAACCCAGGGACAAGGGAACAACAAGTGATCCAAATCGGTGATGAGGAGGGTGCAGGAGGCCTTGGTAGGGCATGATCAAGGGTAATGTAACCAAGAGGAATTACTGAAATCCA